CCATCATTTTTTAGTTGTATTATTTTATGTTTCATTTCCGCATCAATACGGTACGAACTCATATTAATTATAATTAATTTATGGTATGAACTAATACGTAAGCAAGCTGCTTGAATTTATTTGTGCATGACACATGACAGAGGTGATAAGAATAAAAACTGGAAAGTGTTTAACTGAAATAAATAATTAAGAGGTCCTATTAAAATTGTTCAGATATTTTTGAAAAGTTGTATGTTCAGATATTATTGACAGGCATCTGCTCAGATATTATTGAAGTAATGAATGATCAGATATTTATGGTCACTTGTAGTGTATAGAACTTATTGACATTTAACTATAACTGTTCAGATGTATTTGGTCATCTTGTATGCTCAGATATACCTGATGGCGACTGTACATATTATTACAAGACCAGCGTGATCCCGATAAACCATTAGTAGAAGTGTCTCTCTATTAAAGAAATCAAGTATTATCCCAGAATTTTTATAACATGTACTGCTATGTAACTGCCTATTTTTGATATATCCCACTGAGTCCAAGGTTTTAATTCTGCTCTCGTCAAGTTCAGATTTCTCCTTTAATTTCGCCACATAACGATGTTGTCTTAAAGAGAATGTTATATTGTTTTAGGCGTTTAGCAGACGACGGGGCGGGGCGGGCATTTTGTCCGCGAAGCAATAAAGACCGCGTCTGCCCGTCGATGTCTGCGGCTGCCCGCGCCGCGTACACAAAGCACACGACGGGCAGAGGCGGTCAGTTCAGGACGTTCGTTCTAGTAAATAGTCCTTGACCGCGCCGCCGTCTGCGTTACTGCATATAAACTGGTTTGTATGATCCACGGCGGGCAGCCGCGGACATGCCGCGCCGCCAGTGCCCGCCGGGCACCCAAGGCGCGGTCTTTTTGACCGCTGCGTGCGTTTGTAGTATAGGATTCACTTTGTGCTAGCGGCGAAATTGACCGGCCCGCCGCGCCCCGTCGTCTGCAAAGCGCCTTAAAGTTAATGCTTTTGTTGTCAAAAATGATTAGATGACAAACTCTTTCTACGAAAGTTTTTGGTGTATTAGCTCGTTCAGTCGTTCTTTTAGAGGTCCTCATTGTACTGTAACTAAACTATTAATATTCTTATTAAAAATCGAATAAAAGGTTCATTTACGAGATATATATTGAACTTAAAATTTTATCGAGGTTGGTTGACTAACTATTCAACCAGCCCCGAAATAAATTTGTCTACGAACCCCAGACGCCATTTTAAGTTTCGATAGCATGGCTAACGTAAACACTGCCATCAACTTGAAGAAATAATACACACATCAAAAGTGTCTAGGGATCAAGCATTTTTATGCGGATTTCTTGAGATTGAGATGTGGCTTTGTAATAAATTTATGATTTTATAAATTTATATGGATCCTTTTTGGTGCATTTCATAATTTGAATCAGGAACTGTGAATCAAATTCGAGTAAAAGATGAAAATCAGCTGTCAATATTTTCCCTATAAAAACATACAACGCATTGAAGACATTATTAGTGCTACTGTTTCCCTACTACTGATTAAAACCAACGTTATTATCGAGCGGCGACGTCATTTAAGCAGGGAAGAAATGCTCAGAGCCGTGGGAATGATAGAAGCTGGTTCCCGGCAACGTACTGTGGCTTTAGCTCTGAATACAAGTCAGAGTGTTATCAGTCGACTTTGGACACGATACCGAAGCACTGGTACCGTGGCTGAGCGCCATGGAGGACGGTATCGCTGCACCACACGGAGACAAGACCGATACATTCAAATCTTAACTCGAAGAGCTCCAACAATAACCGCCATGATGTTAGCCGTGAGGCTTCATCACTCTTCAGGGAACTTAATTAGCGACCAAACAGTCAGAAACCGCTTGCATGAAGTGAACCTTCATTCCCGAAGACCGCTACGGGTACCACCTATAGCAATGCACAATCATAGGATTCGATATCAATGGGCTCTTGAACACAGAAATTGGGCAGAAGAACAATGGCGTTTCGTGTGCTTTTCTGATGAGTCTCGTTTTGGTATGAGACCGGATACAAGACGTATACGACACTGGAGAACCCCTGGACGCCAACAGCGATTAAAATCCTGCCAGGAAGTCCATCCTTATAGTGGTGGAACCATCATGGTATGGGCGGGTATTTGGATCGGCGGAAGAACTGAGTTGATTTGGATCAGAGGCAACCTCAACGCTCAAAGGACATTGTTCAGCGTCCATACATAGTTAGCCTAAGAACCAACAACCATGAAATATTATTTTCTAGGTTCAAAATCGTAAGGAAATGACTGTAAAAACAAAGATTATTGACGGACACTTCTGCGAACTTAAATTATTAGGAAAACTAATATTTTTTTGAGGTTATGTTTAATATTCAATGAAACATAGGTCAACCTATGAATTTAGTATGAACTCAGTATGAAGTGAATTAATATTACAACTAATTCATTTTATTCGGTGCGATTTTAAAGAATAACTATTAGGAAAAACTTGGTTAGCGTAGGAATCATGAATAAAATAAAAACTGCAGTTTTTCTTCTTATTTATTGACTATTTTTCACATAATTGTATCATATTGTTTATTGTATTTATTTGTATATCACATGTTTATTGTGTAAATATGCAGCGTGAATGTGTATCAGGTGTTCTTGAATAATTTGGCAGTATGATCCTCTCAGGATGTTGTGGCACAGGTTCACTAGCACTTGGTAATAAGGGCTCTGCTTTTTGGTAACATCGATGGCACATTAGATAGCCGAAATAGTTAAATTAAAGGAAAAACAATCGCAAATAAACACACACAACAGGTAATCCGAAACGAGAATGCACTTTCCGGTATATTATACTACTCTTTGGAATGCACGAATGCCACAGATTACTACAAATGCAAACTGCGTGCACCACAACCACAGAGTAACGGATTTTATGCCGGCCCTTCACTTGACAACAGTTTGTCCTTGTCATGCTTAATAAGGACTGAAAAGGACAGACTGATGTCATGTTTTAAAATAGCAAATACGAATAGCCAAGTGAAGTGCCGGCATTAGGAAGAAAGAGTGTTTTGTTTGCAGCGCTGCCATAGATTATACACATAAAATGGTATTTATTGTCTCAGATTATTTATAGCTTACATAACTGGAAGTGTCCGTCACAATCTAAATACTGATAATTATCGCAAAAAATATACTAAGAATTATTATAAATGCCAAATTGGTGTTGGTTCTTAGGCCAATTTTAACATTGTCCTTTATGCTGAGACGATTGTATCAGACGTCATCGTTCCTCTACAAGTGCAAATCGGTCCCTTATTTCAGTTAATGCATGATAATGCACGACCGCACACCGCAAGAGTTGTAAGACAGACTCTCGCCGCAGCTAACATCAATGTCCTGCCCTGGCCTGCTCAGTCGCCAGACTTGAACCCGATTGAGCATGCATGGGATATGCTACAGAGAAGAGCTCTGCCGAATATGGAGGGTATCCAGTCGCAAGAAGACCTTTTTTTGTTGTTGCAACGAACATGGGCGGCCATTCCACAGCGTGATTTGGATGAACTCATTTTGAGTATGCCAAACCGATGTTCTTGTGTTGTTAGTGTTCGCGGTAGAAATACGGATTATTAATTGTTTAAGTTACCCAATAAAATTTTAGAGAAAACTGTTATTTCAGTCTTTTTTTCGAACTTTTGTGTTAGTGGTTCAAATGTCAAAAATCCCTTTATTAGGAAAATGGCAAATTTCTTTATTAATGCAAAGGTGACTTGGTTTATCGTTACTGTGACAAACGAAAACACTTTATTTGATGAATCCTTAAAGAAAATTTTAATTAATATCAATCAGGAGAAAAGTTATTGCAAAAATATATGTTGATCCCTAGACACTTTTGATGTGTGTACATGAAATATGATTAATATACACTCATGAAACACTCTGAATAATTGGCAAATGGTTAACATAAAATGTGTAGGTAACGGATCAAAAAACATACAATATGAAAATACTACTTACATGATACAAAAACAAATCACATGTTACTACTCAAAAACGGCGTGCGTCCGCGACTCAGCGCTCCGGACAACCGTGCGGGGGGCGGAGAGCGATGCGCGGATAAGCTGGGATGACGTAATCCTCATCGAGTTTTTGGCGATTAGTCTACCTACCCCTATACGCAACCATCCCCGGTCTCCCCTACCTACCATTCTTAGCTACCATTTTGAAAAAAAGCTAGGTATCTCATGTAAATTATGTTTATTCTTTTGTTTTAAACTTTCATGGTCACTAACAGTTACTCGGTGATCATGGCGCTTGCAACAATGCCGAAATATCAGAAACTTGCTAAAAACAAGGTACATAGTAACAATCCCGTAAATAACTTATACTACTTTTATGTTTATTCTTGTTTTTCACATAAGACCTTTTTAAGTTAAAGTAATCTAAATATGATTTATTATTAAATTAAGCAAAGTTGTTATGTTAATATTTTCTCTATATTTTAATAAATATAATAAAAACGACCTTTTCTTTTAAACAATCTATAAATTAATAGTATTTTGAAAAGTAATAATACCTACTTTGGTTTTATAGAAAACTTAAGTATAATATATAGTATCAATGTAAGTAGCTATAAGAGCTTAAGTATTATAGAAAACTTAAGCTGTTATAGCTACATTGATTTTATTATTTAACATTTTCAAACACTCTTAACTCATTTTGAACTTTGTTAATTATAATAAAAACTATTCCTATTTTTTATTGACACAAATCCGAAAACACCAAAAAAACGGCTAAGTTTTTTAATAATGAAAACCGGAAAACCCGGTTTTTGATAAATGCCCAGTTTTAGCATGCCCTAGTGGAGATACGGCAGTAGGGATTATGGAAAAGGGGTTCTGTTTGTATTTGTTAAACAGTCACAGTAGAACAGACGGAGAAATCCTCCTCATTTAAAAGGAAAATGGGGAATGCATGTCATGCATAAGAAAAAATATCACTTTTTAAATCATTTTTATTACTTTACGAAATCTAATTTTGACAAATTTCTGTTTACTATGTTTAAAATAGCGTTCTTATACTATATTGAATTTTCGTATTCTTTTAAATTCAGTTCCCAAAAACATGCACAAAGATAATTAGCATATTCATTTAGTAATATTGAGGTAGTTATTAGTTTCAGAACTTATACCAATTATAAATGGTTCTAAAAATAACAGTAAAAATTCAAAGAAATTTTTGCGGTACAGTAGTTATCCGGTATGAAATCAGTGAAAAAAAACAATAGTGTATATTGTAATCTTAATACATTTATCGAGAGAAGTAACAGTAAACACACCTCTGGCCCTATGTGTATAATGTAAATCGGAAGTGTTATTGGCCGGGTGCGGTCGCGTCGCCGTCAGCCCACACCCCGCTCGGATGCGTGGATGGAACGAGGCACAAAGCCGCACCGCGCACCGCGCACAGCGGACGCGACCGCACGGGCGACGACGCGGCGGGCTGCGAGAGCGGCGCTTAACGCCCGCACCCGATATACGTCCGACAGCAATGTCAACAAGTTCCAGCAAATACATAATACGTTCAATACTCATCTCTCCGAAACAAAAGCTTTCAGAGGGGCTGAATTTTACGAATAATACGGCCTTCTCTAATATTACCTATGAAGATAACAATTAAAAAAATTAATGGTATCAAAATACTAAAATGCGAAGTGTGATCGACGGCTTCATAAATATTTATAATCAAAATTATTATTTAATCATAATATCCCATTCGCATACATATTATTCAATCAATCATGAACATATATAAAAGTGAATCCAGTCGTTCACACGTTGAATACATAAAATAGTGATTACACACACATGAGAAAGTAACGTAAATAACAGTAGAACCAAACAAGAATGATAAAAGTATATTATTAGTGTTAATGACATGTAAGTAATAGGCGCGGGAGTGCGGCGGCAGTTGTAGTTCAGTCTCGAGGCCTCGCGACGCCCGCGCCGACCCTCAACTTAACACTACTTCACAACGATACAATTAATAAACTAAAACTATTTCTGCATACTAAACACATTACAAATCATAATGTAACCCTCTCTTGCTTACATTTGGAAGGAATAAACAACATGCCTATATGTACACTCTGTCGTAGTGAAAGTAACTGCTTATTAAAACTCCAATCAGATAGCCGATGCAAGGGGAATCTGGCCGTCAGTGTGTCAGACGGCGGCGGGGACGAGCGCCGCCCTTCGCCGCCCCAGCGGGCCGCAGCTCCAATCATCAGTAACACATGACAAAAGCCAATATATGTTTCCAGTGTATATACCTAATACAATATACTGTGTTACTGTGTGAAAATGTTACACCAACATGTATTCTATACAAATTCAACACACAAATTGAAACGTCAATAATGTATATAGTTTTTCTATACTAGAAATAATTACTTGTACTCGTGCGCGAAAAATCCGTTTAAAGTAGCTATACTCCTTTTCAGAAGTAATATTCAATTCCTATTCTTTACCAGAAAGACATAAACCCAAAGCGCACGGGTAAAATAATTGACTAGTAAACATTAATAAATTACTTGTTCATATTGTACAAATAACTGCTAACACCGTGATTACAATTGTACATCTTGTAATGTGTGGTCAGTGACCGATAGACAATTATTACAAATACTTACCACATAACATTAAATACATTTATTTTTTTAAGATCACGAAGATGTTTGATCCTAAACGAATTTCTCAGCAAGATGTTAGATTAAATGGAATGTTACAATAAATGCTATCGCATATTTAGAATCAAATAACTATGATTTTAGTTTTATGATAACTGTGGTAAGAGACAGCAAGTTAGCCCATTGCAGCATTCACACATCTATAATATAATATAATCATACTGATTGGTCCTGTTGCAATGCACTCCCTGATCTCCTGAGACAAAACTCCAAATTCCGCCAAAAGTTCATTATAACCAAAGATTTTTACTACATACCATTTTAGTTGGTCAAATGTTGCAGTTATTAGTGACACCACTGCTATTGTCAATGTTGCTCAATACTAGTTAGTCCAAAGAATAAAGGCGTTGAATACGCACTGCATTGATCAGTCTCGCATGAACTGTAAATGTTGGAATAGTTTGTTGTATTCAATAAATGAACAAATAATATTTATTATGTTTCTCTACCTGCAATGAAAGTATTTTTTTTTCACAGCACTCAAGCGTCTGTATTTGCATCCGTGATAAAACGCATTAGCAATATTCGAGGTCATGAGGCCCTAGCACAAAACGTTATTACAGTAAAGCAGTATCAAGCTACCATAGTCCTATCGAGTTGTTAAAATTTATAAATAGTAAAATTCAGGTGTAACATATAACAACCTTATACTAGATCCTCCGATCTCATCTAAATTATGGTAAATATTTCACTGCAATCAAATGACAACAAATCGAAATTACTTTGGGTATAAATACCTAACAACCGTACACAGAAATGTCAAATAATTTGATGTCTCATTAAGTCAGGTGTTATCTCATTCTATTGCTATTGCAAAGAAAGTTAAACTTTAGTCAAACTTGAAAGTTAATTAACTTCTCAGAGTACGGCCGTGATGATATACGCATAAGAAGTATAAACATACACGTATAAAGCACCTATCGTTTTAGAGCATTCACTCTTGGAATTATTTACGCAGTGCATGTGTTAGTTGTTATTGGTATAATGGCAGTGAATTTTTTTATGTGATTTCATCCGTACCTAGCTGATATCGTTACAATACATTTTAAACGGAAGCTAATACATTACTATCCGTAGCGTGTGAGAAAACTGCACCAAATTATACAAGGATTTATAGTCATCGATTGTTGCATCGACAAACAAGATTTAGTAACAAAAGGTTAATAAAATTAACTAGTACAATAGACAACAGCGAGGTAGGTATAGACATAGGAACCTTGTTCACATCACCTTCGTACAAGTTGCGTACCAGCCGATGACGGCCTAGTTAATGGTGCAGTTCCCTGACTATGACGTGATGAACAAACCCAGTGTAATCTAATGTAGTCATTGTTAACCATTACGTTACTATTAATAAGAAAATATACTAATTAATTTCTATGGAACAACAACTGCAATACTAATATTTGACAAATTAAATTGAAACCTCTTTAAATGTATGTAATACTGTTAAGGAAATATAAATTGAGAGCTTTGTTGAATACATTTCTATTAAACAACATCTTTTAAAAGATTAAATCCCTCTCTGCTAACAATAAAATCATACTCTATTATATCAATATGTAAAACACATCAATAAATTATTTGATTTGATTTTATACAATTCTTGTGTCAAATATTAGTGTACTAATGATAATTTGTATTTTTTCGTGTGTCATTTCTAATGTTTAAAGAGAGATTGATTATCTAAATAAATTCAATAATATGTGGAAGCAATATACAATTTTATTATGAATAGGCGATTAAACGCAAAATGGGAATATTAATTATAATTAAAAGAAATTAATCGTCATGAGTAGTGTTGACATTCCTGTGTACAACCCTAAACATGCATTACATAGTGACGTGAGCTAATTGGAATCATTTAACTGATGAAATGAAAATTATTTTATGCATTTGGGAATTATAAAGCCAAATTTCTTTGTGAGGCTGAAGTTAAATAACTTTCGGAGTCGTTAGTTTTGTTAAAAGACGAGCAGTTAGCTAAGAGCATTTGTAATATCATAGCCCTCACTGCTCCTGCTGCCTTTATAATTAAAATTTTTATATAACCTAACCTAAAATTTGAGAAATTGGGAATTAGAATGTAAAACATTCTTAAGACATTTTTGCCAAAACTTCCATATATTATTATCACAATTATAAATATAAATATCTAAGTTTTTCATTAATTTTGATATTTCCACTTAATCTTAATCCCTCAATATTAAATATCACTTGGCACATAACGCAAATCGTACATTTGAATAATAAACACATCACGAAAGAACCAAATAATACGCGCCACTTCCACTTTTCATACGCTACGGTATCTCGTCTTAATTTTCAAAACCTTTCATTACAGTTTCAATACAAGAAAACATCATACAGCTAACAAAGACAAAATTACAAAGAAAACGATCAACAAATGTCACTTATAAATTAAAACTCATAAGTTTACCTCTTACTCTCCAACAATTACTAGTATGTATATCAAAAATATTTTATATCCACAAAGGTGGATTAATCACTTCCATAATGTAGGCGCGGGCCGGCGGCCCTCGCGAGCCGGCGGGCCCCGCTAGTCTAGTCAAGGCTCGACACAACACCGTGCCGATTCGACACCGGATCGGCGTACACTCTTTGGATTAGTTACTTAACACCCAACTCACTCGTCGAATCTAAAATACCATCGTACAACACGTTCTCATCAGCATGCATGCAGAAATTCCATGTATCGTTTATATTATATTCCTACAATATAGTCGCAAAGCATCCGTTCGTTTATTGAGCCTCCTCGGTAAAACGATGTCGTGGGTATTATCCGTTCCTATTTTTCATCCCACACACAAACCCTTCCAAATAATATAACGTTACAATGTAGTGATTCAACAGATTAATCTATTATATTTATATAACAAAAAATATGTACTCCTTTTCGTTGGTATAATAAGGTTCCGGTACTAATCATTATAGCTATTGTTATTAACATGTGTATATGTATAGAGAACATAATCATTATCTATTGCATTATTACGATAACTTTATAAGGTAGCAGAGTAACACGGTATGAAAACAATATAACAATCAAATATATTCACGGCACTAAGTTCATATAACTGACACTATCGTTAAAAATAGTGTATATGAATAATATATAATGTATATAATAATATATAATATCATATTCAAATATTAATCATCAACATAGATAATCCCGGAATAAAATATGGATTCATCAATAGTAATTAATTATAATTCACTACATTAATATAATTATGTCAACAACAACATTTGGACGACAGGCGACGTGCTGTTCATCAGCTCGGCAACCTGGCTGCGCACAGTTTGTTCAATCAGTATGACGGTTCTGAATGTGTCGATGTGTGGAGCGCTGTGGGGGCGCGGCGGGGTGGGGTAGTGGGGTAGAGCGGGGCAGGGGGGGGCGGGAGAAGGGGCAGGGTGGGGTAGAGGAAGCGGAGGCGGATTACTGCTGGGCGGGCGGCGGTTGGGCGGCGCGGCGGCGGCCCGGCGCGCTGGCCTGCGCCACCATCGCGCGGATACGTCGCTGCGCCGACTGCGAACACAATATGTTCATTAATTAAGGAGAACGCAAACACTACACGCAAGCCTTATGTCGCACCATTACGGGATATTTAAACAACGTGTAACAGTAATAACGCACACCCTGAAAATAGTTTGTTTTTTTATATAACATAAAATACAAAAAAATAACATTAATTTAATCATTATTATTGAACAAAATAATATGACACATAAATGCAAGGTATTAAAGATACATACGGTACATTAAGTGACATTGATCACTGGTTAACTGAATAAAAATATAAATAATAATAATACATAAATATATAAAAATGGTTAAATTGAATAATTTGTATATTTGTAAAACTACTTTCAGGATGTGCGTTATTTCTGATACACGTTGTATATCTGCAATTGGTAAACTTGACGGCCATTTATACGGTCAAACGTACAAATATTAAATACGAATACCCTTGTTAAGTTACTCTCTCTTAGATTACTATGAACGAACTTTTATAATGCGACCTAAACCTAATGGCGGCTGTAAAGTAATAATCGGGCTATAGCTAACCGCTATAAAGTTTAAAACGCAAACGAAACTAATTGCTCAAGTACATTTGGCCGTTAGCCCGTGCGTGCGCAAGACATTACTCGAATGCGGCACCCAAAGCAATATTTTCACTGAAATACGGGCTGCAGACGGTGTCGGGTAACCAAAACAAAAACTACCTGAAAACGGGTACTCGACTCCGTTCATTTACCTTATAGCGCGATTACACGTAGTCGTTAGCCTGAATACGAGTTCGAATGGAATTCGGGTAAACGTGTACAGGTACGAGTAAGAACGAGACTGCATAATAGAAACAAGTCACAATGGCTGAGATGACAAATATACAAACAAGTGTTGTGTACTGTATTTTTGTCATCAAAACCATTGTTCATCGCATTTACTAAAAAAATACGCCCACTTTATTAAAAACAGAAAAAGGTGCATAATTTTATTGGAATGCTATCGCGCAGCTGTCATGTATCAGGACGAGAACTGAGGCCATATTATAAATTATTAACCCCAGGCAAAAACAGCTGGTGATGCCGATATATTGAGCGTATGTAATGTCTATACGTATGTAACTTGCCTGACGTTCAGTGTTCATAATACGGTCTTTATAGAGCAGAAATATAACAACGTTTGTGTAGTTCCGAAAACAAACAGGTAGCGGATTGTGTTTATTCACGTTATTGCAAAAAATTTAAACATTTGCATTTAATTTTTACTCCAAAAGGGCTCTGCGGTTTTCTTCAAGGTAATGACGGGAGGGCACACGACAAAACGACTCGATTTCTTATCTTTGAAGTAATATTATAATACATCACAAAAAATTATGACGTAAGAATTGGATAAAATTCGCTTCGCCTGCACCCCATTTAAACTCGTATCGTGTCACGGACCGATTTCAGATCAGTCTGATGTTTTGCCTCCCTGATTGTCGACGCACTTATAATGAAACGTGATAACAGAATTTAAACAGGAGGAGGAAAGAATTGGGAGATATAGTAATTATAACTTTTTATAATATTGTTTTGCCAAAATGAAATTTACCATGTGTATACAATACACATGTACAAAAAATAGATCATCTTTTTATCCACAGTAACAGAGACATAACCATAGATTAGGTTATTGCTACACGGTTGTCTGCCATTTTCAATAAATTATTATAAAAATATATTCACTTCCTTGTAAACATAATCTATTAAGACTCATTTACATGATGGCATTTACTTGTACATACAGAGTAATAATTTAATACAAAAATAAAGGAACATCTAAAATTGTAAGCAAAATCATTACATTTTGGATATTGGAAAAAAAAATGTGCAATTATTGAATTCAAGTCTTGATGTAAAATTGATGTAAATATTTTTTGTTTACACAAATACAACTTTCTTTAGGGGATTATTTCTTTCCTGTTTTGACTTTGTCTACACACTTGAATTGTACGTGCGTGTACGATTAATTGACATTTGCGTTCATGTATTGAGTTTGGGATTTTTTTTATTAAAGTATTGAGCGTTTTAGAAGAGAATTCAAATTAATGTTTGTATTCGCTGCTTACACCATGAAAAGTTTTGAAATGGAACGTCGAAAAGATCAAGAATATTTATTGCTTTAATTAAATTGTATGCAACAGGCAAGAAACTTGTATTATGTAAATGGCTCTTTACTGAGGATGTATTATTTATTGGGCATATGTTATGTACAGCCGTTCTTCCATCAAATTAATATTCGAAGATAAGCTATCATCAAAAGCTTCAATAACGCTTGTCTGGCGTCGGAATTCGATAAATGAAACAAGCGCAGATGCAGTATAACCGTGATAACGTTTTGGTTTAATACGAAATATATATCATGATAAATATCCTGTTTGTAGTAACGCTTTAAGAATTGGGGTGCAGGTGGAGAGAAACAAACACGTCTACTTCGCATTATACTTAATACATAATAAATAAAAGGAAATTATTTATTAATTGTTGCTATAATTAAGCCAACATAGACAACAAATTCACAGGTAAATTAATTTATTAAGCGTTATAGTCAAACAAGATAAATAATATAATGTTTATAAACTTTTTCTCTCTATTGTTGACACGATATCCAGGATTGGATAGCACAAAATATTCCTCGTCTATGATGACCCAAATTAGCAGATGGCGTGTTTTATTATAAAATACAAGGCGGTAGACGCTAGAGCACCCGTTTTATTTCATATTTGTTAGTTTTTATTTACATTCCTTACATTCACTCACCACATTCACATATCGTTGCATGCATCATCAGCTCACATGTAGTTACAAAAGTCCATCACGTCAAGGCTTAACATAAATAAATCAAAAACAGTAATTATAAAAGAATTTTATTAAAACTTCATAACATTCGCTTTCGATTTTTTTAGTAGTAAAATATTACTCACCTATTAAATGCATCATTTCAATTTTAGGCCAGTTTCTGGCTATTCAGTCCACTCAGTGGGACAGAATCCTTAGAAGAGGTTTCTTCAGTTTATGTCTCATCCCGCATCTGATGGTTGCTACAAAATGTAAAGATCTCATTATGCCACAGTGAGGAGTATACTCTCAAGACAACAAAAAAATAAAAATACATATATATAAATATGTATATTCGCATTGCGCCAGCTATTACTTAATAACTTATACTTATCTTATCGATACTTCAATACCAACTCCAGCAACCATCTTCTTAACAAAGTGGACTTGTAACTGCATGTGAACACATCCCTCTTATCTCGTAACTTGCAATCATACCATCCATCCCATTACTACGCTCTCTATCAAAATACGAACGTTCGCAACGCAATTACACTACGACAGTGTGTCAACCAACATTATGTCATTTAGTAGTATTCGCTGCCATACCACTGACTATCATTGCCATTAAGAGATAACAATAGGCAAACTCAAAAGTAATAAGACAGGCGTAGAACACAAGATACGCAACCTGAAAGTTTGATAAAAAAATAACAACCTAATAACTTGATAAAAACAGGACCACAAACTATAATGATTAATTACAATATAAGTAGATAATTATTAGGCGATTCAAACACTGCACCGCATTACACAGCTTAGCGCTGGAATGCGTATTGCAAGTACTTCTCTTTGCATTTAAACACGTGTAGTGTCAAACACTCAAAACGCATTCACGCGCAGTGGTACAGATAACGCGTCTATATGCAGCACAGAGAAACACGTTTATAAGGCGAAATTTGCATAATGATGCAGTTTTGATGTACAAACGTGTTCCGTGGCCACGCACCACACAGCGTAGTGTGAGGCAGTGAGAATCGCCTTAGGTAAAGTGCCTTTATTATACAGAAAATATTTCTAATAATACTAGTAATCTGTTACCTTCTTTTTACAAAATCTAAAATATACAAATTACAGTTGAAATTTGTAATCGATAGAGAAGCATCTTGAATATATTGAAAATTGAATATTGACAAAGCAAAAATCTTAAAATGAGTGATTAGGGTATAATTAAACTATCATTTTATTGTGCATTTACCATGTGTTGTAGGCCTGTAACAGTATTATATTGACTACGAAGAGACAAAAATTGTCAATTGCTCTTCTTATTCCTTCGAAGTATTGTGAGAACAACAAATTCACATCACAATAATCATCAGTGGCAGCAGGAAGACTGAAATTCCAGCCGAAAAAAAACATTGAAATAGCACCTACGTTGTTTCAAACACCTATTGGTACATGACAGAAGGAAGAACTTTAATTATAGTACACAGCACGTTAGAGATCAGTCGCGCACATAAGCAACATAGTTCCGAAAGTGTCGTAGTCCACGCATCATACCTGCACGCTATAGAAGGGTCCGACGATGTGCACCGTCGTGTCGTGGTCCTGCTGCGGCGCGCCCGGCTGCTGCGGCTGCTCGGGCAGCTTGATCAGCGAGCCGGTCATGCGCTGCAGCTCGCGCACGTTCTGCCCGCCCTTGCCGATGATGCGCCCCACTTGCGAAGATGCCACCACTATCTCCACAGTCAGGCGCACGTCGTCCGAACCAGACATGAAGCCTTCCTCCCGCATCTTCTCGAAGATCAGGAACTGCGCCTTCCATTGCGCCTCCGGGCTGCCCACGATTGTCACCTTGCGCTCTTGCTGAGCGTTCTGGTTCTCCCCCTGCTTTTCTTGCTCGAGCGGCGCTATTTTCACGGAGGCTCTACTGAATCGGATGATGTTGCGAATGTGTGAGCCCTTCGTGCCGATTATGGCACCCACTGCGTTGTTGGGGATGTATAAATATGTGGTCTCCTGAAAGACGGAAGTACACACTTGTTATTAACTGACAAAAAATATCAAATTTTAGAAGAAGAATTCTTATTATATATCTACTATATAAAAATAAGTCGGGTTTTCCTTCCTGATGCTATAACTCCAGAACGCATTCGTTGGAAAGGTCTCGGGCTCCGTGAGGTTTATAGCAAAGAAAATTCAGGAAAAATAAAAAAAAAATCTTCTTTTAATCACCAAACGAAATGTTACATAAAACGAAGCCATCTGGTGGTGAAACGGAGTTCGCTGGGTTTGCTAGTATATATTTACTATATTATAGGTTACTATTAGGATAGTTATATTAGGATACTATATTATAGGATACTTCAGATTGAGGCAAATACTGTCTACCCAATTTAACAAGATTATTAAATTGGTTATACCGAATTTAAGCATTATAAATTAACTATAATACAATTGGTAATTTAATTGAAACTACAACGAGAACAGTTGAAATAAACCAATATAGATACTGGGGAAGATTTAATATTATATTTTATTATCTATATAGTGATTTTAGGAGTATATTACCTGACTATCACCAGCGCCTTGTTGCGCGCCGCCCTGGCCAGCCAGTGGCGCATAGATCGGCGGCGGTTGGAATGGTGGCGGGGCTCCACAGAAGCTGCGGCCTGTCGACATCATGGCCATTGGATGCAGACCGGGGAACATAATGCTTTGTGGCGCCAAAACCTAAAAAACAGCATCTTTTAATATTACCCCACTCCTGATGAAAATAACAACACAAGATAAAAAGTTGCTTGCCTCTACCTGTAAATCGTTCTCGTAACTCTGACGGAGCTTTGCCGAAATCTGTGATTCGGCTTTAGCCATATTTTCAATAGTGCCCTTGACAGTGATAATTCGTTCCAAATTGAAACTATTGATATCATTGATAGAAGATACCGTAATCTTAGTATCGGTCTCTTGCATGATTCTTTTGATTGTGTTGCCTCCTTTACCGATGATACGCCCAATCAAGTTGTTGTGCGCCAGGATTTGAAGAGAAATGTCCCTGAATGATTAAATAAACACCATGTAGAATACAAACTAGACATTAAATTATTATCGCAGTGGCGACAAAACACTTGTTGGATTCAAAACAGAAGAAAAATTACCCTTTATTGGTATTGTTGGCTTCCTGTTGCATGACTTCGAGTATCCTCTTGCAAGCGTTAGTGCAGTTCTCTGGGTTTCCGTAAATAGTGATGGCTTTTTCGAGAGATCCAACATTGTCTTTACGGTGCACGTCGACGCGGGCGCGGCTCTGCTGCGTGATGAGGCGGATGGTGCTGCCCTGGCGGCCGATAATGGCGCCGACCATGTCGCTCTGCACCAGCAGCCGCAGCGGGAAATCGGTGGGCCGCGAGCCGCCGCCGGCCGCGCCGCCGCCGCCGCGACCGCCACCGGGTCGCCCGCGCCTCCCTCCGCGTGCATTCTGCTCCGCCGCCTCCACCTTCATGCGACTACCTTCCAGCTCACAGCCGTTCAAGCCGTTTATAGCCCTGAAACAATGTCACAGTTTTCTTCATTTCTTACTACTTATAAAATACGACTACCACCAATTGTTTAGTATATTTGGAATTTCTCTTTTGTTTAAAAATAATACACCAATTTAACAGTTTAACAATGTATTATTTTAAAGTGAATACATAATTAACTGATATTTCTACATCAACATTTTGTGCATGCATGCTTCAATTGAACTTACATTGTGAAATAATTCTGGTAATTATAAATTTACCTATAGTGATTAGACAATTTATAATGATTCCCTAGTTAAATGAATAGACTATAATGGACTCAGTACCTGTTAATAAGGTTTTCGTCTTATTTCGTTGAAACATATTACATATTCTAGTTCTTAATAAATTAAATCTTGTACAAATAAGTAAAGTGAATAAACTAAGGAATATTTTCTTCAATAAGTATTTTATTCTCATAGGTCGTTTGCAAAGTAAATGATTTACCAATTTTATACATCCACAAGGGTAGACCTCACTAATCGTTGGAATTTTTATTATAATGGCTACTGCACTTCACATGGACATTCGTATTTGCTATTTGACATTTGGACAGCAGGTTGTCCTAATCATACTCCATCCCCACTCACTCAAATGCCATTTGTCATTCAATAGACAGAGACAAAACATAGAGTAAGTAATCCAAGCGTAGTCTTCGTTTATTAATAAGGGGATTAGAGTGTAAAAAGGATACTCTAGTTAAAATTACAAATATTTAATACGTGTAGCCCATGAAGAGAGCCGGCCTAAAAATCGTTCGTGTTATTCAAAACTGTTTTTAATCTAGGGATTAAAAACAATTTTGTCAAAAACAAATCTTGCGTGTATCCTTAATAAAGTACAAGTACTAAGTAGTAGCTTAGACAAGCAAAGAAAGTTTTTTTTCACAGTAAAGATTAAAATTTTTTTTTCGTTAAATCAGCTAAACTGCGACCTTATCCCGTGCAGCACACGCACACAAACACATTGTGATACACTATTATGTACTGTATTATCAGTTAAATGATTCTTTTATTCTATATTATTGTAGTGTATTACTTGGTAATACCGTGCATCATAATGTTCTTGATCTTTTTCAAATATCTTAAAATGGCCATTATATATATTAATCTTTTTGTAATAGCGAAATTATTTTGTCTTACATGTTCTATTAGAAATGTATTAAATATTTTTGGATATAGTTCAGTGTAATCGACCGCCCGCGCATCGACCGTCATCATCGTCTCCCAAAACGCAATAAAAATAATATTATTTATATATATAAAATCATATTTTTGTGAAGGTAATGAGAATATATGACATTGTATTATAATTACCGCCATTATTTACTCTCATTTTTTTTTTATAACTTTCATGTATCTTGATCGTCGCGGGCGTAACGCATATCACAGTTGTTGTAGTTTGGTTTAGTGTAACAAATATTAGAAGTGAACGAAGACCTTATCAAATGTCATAGAATATGACACAATATTGAGGTTTTCTTTTAGTTCATGATAAACTAATATGAATTAATAATTAGGCCATGAAAATTATGTAACGAGTGTAAAACGTAAAGAAAATTCCCTGTTGTTAAAATATTTGTTACACTAAAGCCAAACTACAACAATATTGCTTATGCGGTGCGCCTGCGACGATCAAGAGTACCTACATGAAAGTTATAAAAACAAAAATCAGGGTAATACCGTCACAAAAATATTAATTTTATTGGTATTGGGAGACGATGTCTACTTCATACAAAACTTGAGAGTCGATGCGCGGATTTTTACACTGGACTAAATCCAAAAGTATTTTACGTTTTGATTTGAAGACAACATGATTTCACTATTACAAAAGTTTTTTCCGACTCACCCAAATGTGCATATTTAAATATTGATTATTATTTATTCAGGTTTTTATTTGTGTAAGACATTTATGTAACCAATGATTTTTAAAACAAGTCACACTAAATCATTCAATGGGGCAGTAGTTTTATTTTATCCAATGTTTAATCGTCCAATGATTAGCAGCAAGTTTTCCCTGACATTGTTATTGATATAATATTGAAAGTAGCGGCGCGCTATGATGGCCATTTTGAGTTCTTCTTCTTAGTGTCAAAATTTGTCAAATCGGTAATTTTCGGGCTTACAAATATTTTTTTACAAAAATATATTATATTATAGTCCCGAAAACGTTTTTCAGTTTAAAGCAAATAAATTAAATCTTTGAAGGATTAAGTAAATTAAATTTATTTATCATTATTATCATTAAGAACTGTTATAATTTAGTTATGATAACATATTGACCACATAACTCAGCCTATTAATGTATTTTACGAAATTCAAATTAAAAAAAAATAAGTAAGCTAGCTGCATATAGGATCGCCGACTGTAAGAAAAAATTTAATATAATTATCGTTCTATGCAATCTAAAATTCGCATCTTGATGAGACCTTGATTTGATTACTTATTTTAGATTTTTTTTCGATAACAATATTCTTTACACGTTACTTTTGTAATGTGAAAAAACGGCCAACATAGCGTGCCGCGACTTAATAATATAGTTAGTAACGCAGGTTATTTTTTAATAAATACAAAAACATGCGGCGTGTGAGGTGGGTTCAGAAATACTTACCATTTATGGAAATTTACATGCCTGGAAACCTTTTTTTTGTGAAAGTAATGTTCCAATCATGTTGAATGAAAAAACATGAAAAAAATGAAATTCTTCTTATTGGATTTGAAAATATATATGTGTGTGTGTGTATATATATTATCGCAGATCCAAAATTCCAAGAACTGTAATAAACCATGTCTAAACTATACCAAAACGTTTAAACATGGATACAGAACAATCTACAAACATTCTATAAAAATACAAACACCATGCTGAAGTTAGAACACGATTGTTAATACTGTGACCTGAAAATGAAGCAAGAAGAGTGAAAGGCGAAGTAGTAAGTACAAAAAACATAGAAAGGAACATGCAAAACTTAGAAGGAGAAGAAGCACAAAGAAGAAGCCAGAGTCCAAGCATTCGACCGACAGATTGGAAAACAATAGAATGTCCCGTGTTCCGGCTAACAGACAAGGGCTACTCACTGCTGCGCCTGCTCCGGTGTCTCGAACGTGATAAACACCGCTTGGGTGTTGGCATCGCGCGAGTTGGCTTTGTCGCACTGCTGCACGTTGCCGTATTGAGACAGCAGAGGCTCGATGTTGTCGAAGCGAACATGCGGGGGAAGCCCACTGATGAGTACTTTTGATGAACGGCTGTGAGAAGCGACATTAACCACTTGTATTTATCCAGACATCCAAAAGACCAGAGGAACATTATAGGTTATAAACGACACAAGCATTTAGGTAATATAAAAAAGCAACCTTGATCATTTCTTTAAACTCAAAATTTTAATATTATAATATCTATGATTGCCTCAGATACAAACGCACCTACCTACAATTAAAACTAAGTTAATCCGATTTTTGAACGTAAATGTAAGTATTACCTACAATAGGAAGATTAAATAAATAAAAGCTTTTAAAAACCGATAGCCCTGCCGTTAAGGCGCAGTTTTAGCTAAAGAGGTAGGCACCGAAACTAAGCTTTTTTGTTGAGATCAATACCTAATGGCGCGCGCAGGTAAAAAGCGCGCCAATGATGATTATTACTAGGTCAGCAAATCAACTCAAAATCATCAGTATAATGATCTAATAAGCTTTTTAATTAATATACTATATAAATCATCGAAATCGGTTCATTCATTGCGATTTTATAACTTTTTTAAGATAGCCAATATTCACCGGCGGAAGAAACATGTGACGTCACCGAGCTCGATCGTGGTTCACCCCGGTCGAACTTTAGAAGCGTCTCTAGCGCAAGGGCGCGAGCGTGCGTAGAGCTCTGTGACGTCACAGTCACCACCTGGCCAGCCGAAAATTTGTTGAGTAATTTGGTCACAACTTCGTCAATATTTGTCGTACAACAAAAATTTTACCGCTGTATTTTTTTTTTACCTTGCGTGAATAATTATTCAACTGATAGTGAAAAGTTTATTGCGTAGTTATATATATATATATATATATATATATATATATATATATATATATATATATATATATATATATATTATATAGAATGCACCGTTGCTCTACTGTTCAACAAACATGTTTGTGTGTTGTACAAAAGTGTACCCCTTATACCATTGATCCCTGTCCTTATTATTAAATGACGCAGTGGTTTGTACACACCCATCACTCATAATTAATTGCACTACTCGTCGCGTCGGATGTTTCTAAGTGATTCTGATCATAGAAATTAGTACATTTTGATTTGACGCGTGGCGTGGCGTTTCATAAGTCTGATTCGGTCATATTGGTTTCATGAAAAATGTTGCAAAAACGGGTAACAATATTCCATTTGTGAGATTCGTTGCGTGCGCTGGGTAAACGGTTAAATTACAGAAAAATCATGTATGACGGAATAGTTCCCCTTTATAAGTTCTATAAAAAAGTCAGCGACAGCATATCGTCACTTGTAATATGAATTACCGTAAACGCCAAAAGCCAAATTTTTCAGGACAAAGTGGGACAAAGAAATGAGTCACCAAATTTCTTTGTACGCGTTGGAATTGTGGCCACAGTTAGACGGTGACGGCGAAGGCCAGTGCGCGTGGTCCTCTGAAGCAAAGGGGAAGGTGGAATAAGAGAGAATAACTCCTCAGAACACACGCCGTGGTACAAACGATAGAACGCGCTTAGTGACACCACGTCACGGCTTAATTGAAGAGGCTCCAGGTGTTAAGTCACCTCGCCATCGCCTATGATGCGGATCACGCGCCGCTGTAACCTATCAAAAGCATCGAGCAAGTACTTGGCGGAGCCATCCCTTCCCAAATTAGCGTAACAGTCAATCAAATAATTTGTGCCACAAAATAAGTGAACGTAAGGGTCATTTTGATACAGATGAGTCTTAGGCCGTATACAGAAAGAAAGCCGAAAGCCGATCGGCGCCGATAAGCACCGACACGCGCTGGTCCGAATAATAAATAATTTGTATTTGAATTATTATCCTTACATTAAATCAATCTAAGTTATAATCTTTTTATAAATCTAATAACTTTATCTTTTATTAACTAAGCGCTAAAATTATTTGTTTCGTACTTACCGAATGGTGACAACAAGTCTTTCTTCTGGAAGGATTGGTTGTTTATGCCAATTACACCAATTTTTCATCAAACGGTTTTTTACTAAATCCAAAATGTAATAATAATGTTTTTTGAGTCATTCTTGTACATGTATAAAATCTTTGATCATCAAATTTAAATTTTTTTACAAATAAATGATGGTATACTACGAAACGTTTCCTTTCTCTATTTATAGGATGTATAGCTTTTTTCGCATTTTTATATATACATTTTCTAACAAAACCAAATCATCGTCCGATGAGTCCGACATTTTGCTTGATCTGCTTTAATCGGCTTCCTTTATGTAGTAAGGATCGGCGCCGATAAGCGCCGATCGGCTTTCGGCTTTCTTTCTGTATACAGCCTTACACTGTCTTTTTTTTCAAATTTGGTCGTTAATTAACCTGATAAGTTTAGTCGTACGTTAACCTGATAATAAGTAACGGTAAAATGAAAATAATGGTTTGGTTTTGGTTAACGTAATCGTCATTTTTTCAAGATATCGAAATTTTAATGAGGATCCGTAACGTTTTTAGTTGAGAATGCAGACTTTTATAGCTAAGAAATCCGTAACTTATTGTTCAAAAATTATTGCTCTATGGCAAAAATTGACGAAGTTATGACTAAATTACTAGCGAATTTCACAGGCCAGCCGCCGCAGTAGCTATGACGTCACTGTGACTGTGACGGTCGCCGCCAGTTAGCCCTTAGCAGCGATAAGGCGCGCAGAGCTTGTTTGGTAAATTTTGACTTTGAAACAAATTAAGTGTCCGATTTGTGTCTAATTCACCTTTCTAACGATGTATAAATATTGTATAGTGCCAAAATGCATAAACACTTCTATTAAAACGCCAGAAAAACTATTTTTAAACTTGCCGAAAGACACAAACCTTCGTAAAAAATGGTATTCCGTTGTAAAAAGAGATGATAAAACTCCACCCTCTACCCAGGCTACGAGACATTGCTGTGAAGATCACTTGGATGTAAGTACCTATTTTATTTAACTTTACCTATTATTTATTTGATATGGAAATAAGTTGGTACCTACTACAGTGGAGCCTCTTTACCTCTATCTGTGAGTATTATGTTCTATGTAGACAGTAAAATAAGTAATGAAACTACACTTGCAACGTTAACGGGGTTTGAACTATTATGTATTCTGTGACGGGGTCCACCTTCAAGCGGTTCCACTGTATTACGTGTAGTGTATTCTCTTATTTTAAGCCTGCTGTATTATAAAAAACATACCTACTTACTTTTTCTGAGTTTTGTAGATAAACCTTAGTACCTATTCGCCCGTTCCCATTTCTATGTAATATTCCACGGTCAAAACAATGACTCAGGGACGTACTCGGCTAAAAAGCAAAGAATGAATGATAATATTTTATTATCATTTTCACAACAGCAGTGCATTTATGTATCTGCCTCAGCTGTGCCAGTGCCTTATTGTTACAAGCAAATAAATTAATATATGTTTTTTTTATATTTTAGTTGGAAGAAGATATGGAAAATTACGTAAAGTTTAAGTTGGTTGGAGGAAGGCTGAAACTGAAGAAGGGAGGGAGTCTTGCCTCATAAGTTTGAATGTCAAAAGCCTCAAGAAAAGAAAATTGACAGACTGGGTTTTAAGAAAAGACAAGATATAGAATATTTTGAAAGAGTTTTAAGTCAAGATATTGGACACGAAGACCTGTTATTGCATTCCATTGAAGTAGTAGAGTGTGAGAATCAAGACTCAAATATCAACCTAAACAGCGACCCTCTTTAACATACCTCAAGAAATAGACGTATTATCGGAAAACAATGAAAGGGGTAAAAAAACACAAGCAGTGCAGGTTAATATAAAACCAAAAATGAAAACCAAATCTAATAATACGCCAGCCAAATGGAAACAACAGATGGTTAAAAATATAGCAAACCCTATAAATCTCGACCCAGACCATAGCTTTTCGATCAGCAACTCAAACTCAAGTATCATTACTTGTTCTTCTAGTTTTAATGCTAGTGATAATGAGTCAAACAGTGATTAAGGAATTACAAACACGTTGAATAAAAAATACTTCAATGAACTTATGCAAAAGGGCGCTATAATGGCTTATTCTCGAAAGCCAAAGTTACTGATAGGCATTCCTGCCCATTCATACTTTTGCATTCAATATTTAGAAGACTTCACGGGAATATCACCTATTCAAATCCTAGTGACTTTACGAAAAATATGTTGGCATGAACCGAACTCAATGCTTGCAATACATTTTGGCCTCTCTGAGAGTTCAGTGACTAAAGATTTTAAAAAAACTCTCCCCAAAGTTGCATTCTGTCTGAATCAGCTTATTATCTGGCCATCAACGGATCATGTGAGGGAAAACTTGCCGATAGCTTTTAGGAAGCGCTATTCTAAATCGATTTCAATAATAGATTGTTTCGAAATTCAAATTGAGAAACCAAGCAACGCTTCGCACCAAGCGCTTACGTGGTTTCAATATAAAAGCTGTAATACCATTAAGTACTTGGTTTCTATTACACCTGATGGCTTGATAAATTTTATCTCTGAGGGAGGGAGGACCCCAGACTCAACAATATTTGAAAACAGCGGATTTCTTGAAAAATTGCCACAAGGAAGTATTGTTAGCTGACAGGGGCTTCAAAAATATTTCCCACTTTCTGAATCAACGTGGTTGCACGCTCCTGAGGCCCCCTAGTGTGAGTTCCAACTCCAAACCTACAGCGGAGGAAGTCCTACAAACGAAGAGAATCGCTGCTATAAGGGTTCACGTTGAAAGAACCATAGGGAAGTTGAGAGACTTTAAAATGATCGGACCTCACGCTTGTGTCGATATTTCGTACATACATTTTTTGGATGATATTGTAACAATAGCCTGTGGCTTAGTTAATTTACAGGATTGTATATTTAGTAATCAAGTGTAAAAATTAAAATACTTTTATTTCTTTTAAAGAGGTTTTATTTCGACTTAATCTTGCATAGTCAAAAGTACATGCCATATTATTAATAGGAGAGTAATTTAAGTCTCAACCAGTTTTGGAAACACTGATGTTTTCCAAAAACGTGTGGACTTCTCTAAAAGATCATTA